CAAAATAATTGTAAATAACTTATGTGAATAATCATCTAATAGTTTAATTTTATTGATAGTCATATTTATATATGTATGGATTTCTTAAATATTCTCATTCAGATATATCTTTGATTTGTGATCTAAAATCCTTATATAACATGAAACCTTAAAAGAAGTGAAATTATCTGTATTTAAACAACCTTAGCTATTGTTTTATCTTTTAATGATTGAAATTTCTTCAAAAATATGTTAATATTTTTAAATTTGATGAAAGGATGATTTTACTGTAGGCTTCAAATAATTACTTTGTTTATTCTATATTTTAAAATATCAAATCCTTATTTATGGAATATATTTATTAATTTTTAACGAAAACAATATTATTATTATTATTAAAATTAAAATTGAAAAATGAATGAAAAATATTAAAGTAAAATTAATATACAGTTCGGCCGTGCTATTAGAGCAAATTTATATGAAACAAACTAATACCTATATAAAAAGTATTTCAGACAAAGTTTATAGAACCTAGTAAATTAAATTTGAAAGGAATAGAATAACGAAATGAAAAATGGAATTCTTTCATATATTTAATTAAACTTTTTATTATCTTTGATCAAATATTAAAGTGAATCACAAACAATATAACTAGTTATGAGTCTAACATTTATTTAATTATCAGCGACAATGGGTATCATATCATAAATATTTGATGATTTCACATTGATATGATTGTATAAAGCTAATTTTAAATTATTTACTTATTCTCTTTTATTAAATTTATTTAGCCGAAAAAGAGTTAATCTTAATCCTTAAAGTTGTTGCTATGTTAGAAAAGGGTCTTACATGAAAATAAACCAATTTTGGATAGTCAATTATAACCAATAATTTTATAAATCATGATAATATCAAAATCAAAGGATTAGATGAGCAATCATACTTTGTAGTATTATAAAAGGAAGATTTAAAATAATAAGATTTAAGATTAGATATTATTGCGATGCATAATTTCATTCAAGCAAATCTACTCTTTTAATTTTTTATTGTTCAATTACTTAATCAACTTCATTTTTTAAAAACCATTTAATTCTTGTTCCATTACCATTAGCTTTATCATTTTCCCATACTTATTTAAATTTTTATTTCACTTCTTGAGATCGCTAGTATTTTTATGTTTAAGTGGATGATGAAATAATCGATAAAAGTAAGTATTTGCTTTTGATGGAAAATATATATCTCGTAACACCTATTAGTAGGATTAGTTAGTGGGGAAAATAATTAAATTTGTATCTAAATTGGGAAAAAATAAAATATAAATCATATAATATAATCTAGATAATCCTCTTGATGATGGAAATGTTATACTTATTTTATGAAATTGTGGGGAATTAGATTTATAAGGCTAGAGATTATATATCCATGTGCTGATTTTTTTATTGAGTGCAATTTTCAAGTTGATTAATTTAAAATTTGTCCTGGAAATCACACAATCCCAATTCGGCAAATACCTTCCTAGATTAAATCGGTTTTAATGATGATGAGCAGGATGGTTGTAACATTAAATGTCCAAAACATATAGGAGGCGAAGCTCAAACATATTACACTTTATATTAAACTTGTATGCTAGATTATAGTGTCTAAACCTAATTTCTTATTATTTTCTTAGATATTAAAAGTAAATCTGATATTATTGATTATCATTCCAAATTAGTTGCTTTTATTGTATATGAATTTATTTTCAATATATAATATATTAAACTGTAAGTTTTAAAAAATTTATTGATATAAATTGCTATGATGAGAAACATAAGGAATTTCTAGATGAATAACATAAAACTAACCGTGCAAAAATTAAAATAATATTTTATGGGAATTTTAAAGTATCAAACAATATTAATATTATCACCAACTCTAGGTCTAGATGGAAAATAAATTTGTTGATAATCAGTTAAAGATCACACTTTTATCAATAAATTAAATTAGATAAATTTCATTCATCAAGTTAATGTGGGTATCGAAATTTTTCCACATTTTGGAAGAGTTGGGATCTTAAAATCTAACCTCTTAATGGGAGAATATTAATATTATTATCAAAATAGAATAATGAAATAAAATGAAAGAATGTTGTTTTCATCAAGGGTGATGTATTCATTCATTGCGAAGATTTCTCCAATAAAGGAATAAATTAGGAAATAAAGACATTTATTAATTGGATAAAGTCTATTCCTTTTAAGTATAAAATTGTAATAGCAGGCAATCATGATAGACAGAAAAATACTTAAGGCTTCTTAAGGCCAGGTATCACAATAATTAAGATAATAATCATTAAGAATTATAGAAAGAACTCAAAGATAATTGTATTTACTTAGAAAATTCTTCTCTTATACAAAATATAGGGAAGTCCATATTCACCTACAATAAGGTGCAATCCATGGGCTTTTTAAGTAAAGCTGAAAATATTTTGGAAGTAAATCGAGGAAAGATCTGATAAAGTTCTTACACATGGAGCTCTTTTAAGTCATGGTTCCTATGATCATAATTATCCTCCCACAAAAAGAGAATGTGGAGATCTTGCTTTGGCTAACAAAATAAAAGAAATTAAACCTCTTTATCATATTTTTGGACATGTACATGAAGGTTATGGAATGACGGAAGAAAATATAATTTAATACTTGAGTTGTGAAAATTTATTGTTAAAATAATAATATTCAAATTTTCATTCGAATTTTAATTCAAATATTTCATTATCTACAATCTTTGATGCTTTGTCTCTTGGGTTGAGTACTTTAGGTGTTCTGAAAATTATCCCTCTTTATAACATACAATTAGAATATTGCAGTATTATCTTTTCTATTTGCTCTATCATATTTTGTATCATCTAATAATTTTATATATAGTGGACTTAGTATAAATAATCAAGCTGTTATTAACTTAAAAAATTATTTAAATTATCCAAAAAAAATATCAATATATCATTATTAAGTTCATCTCATATTGATAGATCTCAGAGTATATTTTCAACTATTTTTAAAACATCTAAATATGCATTCTCGGTTTTGGTTAAGAAATTTAAAATTAATAGAAAATGTTATGAAGAAATCTTAAAATTTAAGAGAAATCCTAAGATTCTAACTTATATAGCAAAACATAAGTTTAATTATTTTTTTGCTTCAATAGATGCAATATTCATAGTTGTTTTTTAGGGTCTATTTTTTCTTCACAATAGGATAACTTTCATTATTTTCTGATAATAATATATCATTCTATATAATAATCATTCTAAATTTTGTAAAAATTGCATTTTATGGATTTTAAATATTATTACGATTGGAAATAAAAAATTAGATTTAGAATATATAATAATGGAAAACTGTATTACAAAGAATAATGTTTTAATTCAAAGAAGTACTTATTACAATAAAATTAATTGAATAAGTGATTTTTAGACCTATATATATTGTAATTTTAATAAATTGATAATAAGCTGTTCCTATTAATTCTATTATTATAATTTAAGGAAAGCTTTTTTCTTAGACAATAAATAATGATTTATTTTATTTTAAATAATGAGAAACGAGCCTTATTCTTTATAAAGAATTCGGTTATGAGCTTGAAAGTTAATATATGCAGCTCATCAACACATTTTAATAGTCAAAAAAACGAATGAAACATAAGAAAAATAAAATTGAGTAATTATATTATTTAATTTTATGGATTTCTATTATCCAAAAGTAAGAGAAAAATAAGAAGATTTCCTATGCAAATAACATGAAAAGCAAATTGATTTTTTTATTCTAGATCCTAATTTGCCAATATGTGAAAGGCTTATATGCTAAAATTGTCTTTGGAATCCATCTTCTGCTAATATTGTGAATTTTCAAACGCTTAAATAAAACTTTGATAGCTCCTAAAAAGATTCAATAAAGTAGTATGAACTAATAATCTAACTCCACATTTAAAGCGTTGAAAGCTTTAAAAAAATTATAGATGACCTGTAGACAAGATTAACTTAAGAACTTTAAGGTTTAATTTAGCTATCAAAAGATTGGATTTCTGAATTAATTAGTACTGTAACAGAATACAGCTTTTTTGAAAAATTAGATTAATTAATTCTATAAATGCCAAACCTTCCTTAGTTAAAAACCATTGAAAGAATTAAAAAAATCAACACGGATTGTAACTCAAAAATTAACTTGAAAATGAATTAATTAAAAGTTGAGACTGAGTTCAAAAAATATGATGAATTATAAAAATATCTTAATAATTTATTAAATAATTAAGAGACATAAATTAAGTAAGTATTTATTTTAAAATCTAGGTTACAAACCATTTAAAAAGAACCGTGTAATAGGAAGGATGATATTTATGAAATTTTAGTCTAACTTCCAGATATTGATAAATCAAAATTCAATTCGATAATAAAATTAGGAAGAAAAGAGAAAATTTCAGATATTCTAGACTTTTTTATATAGATAGATAATCAAAAGCTCTCTGAAATTTTTAATAATAAAAATGAG